CACTACCTGAAGAGAACTTAGTGTCCTTGTCCACAGTACAAGATTGTCCACTGTGTTTCCAGGTTAGGTTATTTTGAGAGACGATGTCCATCCATTTCAGTGTCACCAGAACATGAGTGACATTCACGGCTTCAACTTCCACAGGCTTGGAACAACTTCCGTTTCCCCTTAGCTATGGGCCTGTGTACAGCCCCTGACTTTGACTTAACGAGCAGTTTATCAGCCTTTCTGATCATCGCTTCACCTCCGCATCACTGTTATTAAAGTGTGTGTTGACTGTTTCAGGTAGGTGCACATCAAACTCTTCAGTACCTAATTCTCACTTTCCATCTACTCCAAGAGGACGTTGAGGTGTCTGTGTTATGACTGTTGTCAGACCGTTTTTGAGGGTGTCCGGGAAGGGGAGTTACTCTTGGCTGGGCCTCTCAGGGAGGAAGTGGCATTTGAAAGGAAATGAAAAGGACGAGAACATTTGATGAAGAGTTGCAGGGGGAAGGGTCTAGGGGATGGAGACAGGGACCGCTGCATTGGGAACAGGAACAGGGAGATGTGTTCAGAGAAGAGTGACAAAGTGGCTGGACTCAGTGATATTTCTGAACCTCCGTTGCACATTAAGATTACTTGGGGAAATTCTTCTTCAAATATAGTTATGGTGGGCTCCACTGCAGAGCCAATGAGTTGGAATGTTCTGCAGCAGGGCTCAAGCCTCAGTGTGCCTGTAAGGCCCCCAGGATTCCCCTGTGGCGGGTACAGAGCTGAGAAGCTGAGCAATGCATGGGTTACAGGAAGTCGGGTCCTTGGGGCTGTGCCAGACAAGTAGGTGGGTTAAGACCGTTTCTTTTTGTTTTTAAAGCCATATGGCTTACTACTTTTCTCACCACAGGTTGTGTTATATGGCATATTTTATATGGAAAAGGCACAAAATAAATCTTCAAAATTTTGTTTGGTGGAAAGAAAAGAACGTAATTAAAGGTTGTCAACAAAAGAAATGTCCAAACCTACAGAGTTTTTCTAAGAGTTTATTTGAGCCCAAACTGAGGACCATTGCTGGAAAGCAGGATCTCAAATACCCCAGAGAATGGTAGTTTGTGGTTTTTCTTGTGCATTTGGAATTAAGGAGGAAATATAGGATGACATGGAGGTGGGAGAAAGCAAGGCAGGGGTTAGATTAGAAGACAGTTAACAAGATTATGTACTATCTTGAGGGTGGTTAGAGCTTTGAGGGGCATTTCAAAGGTGTGTTAACCTATATGCACAAGGGCAATAGTCAGGACTGACTTAAAAGCCATCCACTAAAGAAGTTATATGCCTCAGGTGTGACAACCCACCATAACCTGCCCAGTTAGGAGTTAATGATTTGTCATAATACCATTTTTTTGTCCACAAGATGTACCGTGTGCCCAGGCACTCTGCTTGGTGGTTTGTTTTGAGAATATTGTAAAACCATTGAAATCATGAGGGACATTCTGGGATGTCCAAAGTCTACAGTTTGGAGAATTCACTGCTTTGGTAGAATAATGAGAACACACACGCACACTATTAAAAGGCTGTGAGTGTCTGAGAAAGGATATTTTAAAAGGGTGGGTCCACATGGGTTTCGAAGCTCGTTGTGAATTCATGTCACAGATTTGCCGCTTACTACCTGTTGTAGACAAGTTACACACCCTCCTCGAGCCTCATGTTTTCATCCTTAAACCCAAGGGTTTGCTCTGAGATTTGAGTGAAAAATGCCTATAAAGCACTTGGTGAGGTGCTCACTTAGCAGGAATAACATTTTTTATAGAAAGTACACATGTATTCAATTGTTTAAATCTCATTCCTGAGTTTACACTAAATTTTGTATATCATGCACAGTAAAAGATAGTTAAAGCTGGATTTGCAGAGTCCCCTATCCCAGCAGTGAGTTGGTGAAATTGAGACTGTAGTTGCTAGAATTCACCAGGTGCTTTTACTCAAGACCTACAAACTTAAAACTCAAAAAACAAACAAAAAAAAAAGGCAGAATTCAGAATGCTCTTTAAGTACTTTGCAGGGACATAGCTTTGAACAAAACCAGCAGATAAGTATATTTTTACATGCTTTCTTTGGCTACGTCACTCACAGATTTCCTCCTGATTGTCAGTTTTCCATGGCTCTAAAGATTGTACAGCACTGTGGTTATATTCTTCTGGTCAATTTCAAGCTCCTTTGAAGACTCAGCTTACACTGGGTGACCTCAGAAATATCTAGTTTCACTGTAGTCTCCAGTCCGTGAAAATAGTGTCCCTTCTTATTGAATAAAATTAGAGACCGTTCCCAGCTTGAACAAAGGGAAGGATGGGGTGGAGGTCTTTAAGAGTGCCAGGAAGACTCTTGCACCCTAAACTGTTTGTTTTAAGTATCTTTACTCTGTCATCTGAACCAGTTATTGACTGGCTGATACGGTTTGAGGCAGTAGAACTTTTTTTAGATTAACAATTTTTCTTTATTCAAAGTCATGGAGACCTTTTTGGAAGCAACATCTGAAAATTTAATTCATGTGTACGTACTAATAGAATATGTTCTGACCTCCTGGGCCACCAAGAAAACAGTTTATCATGATCTATGGGATCTTGCCAAGACAAAATAGCCTTTATTTTCACAATTTGTCATAAAATGCATTCATTTTTATTTCATTGGTAAAATTAAGAATTCAGCTTAGAAATGGTGACGTTAAAAAGATTGAACCCTTGTCCCAGAAGGGAGAGTAAATGGAATCATGTGAGATGTCTCCACCTAGTGGACAAAATGGTGTAATCCTACTCCTCTCACCAATTACTACCAATGGAATACCATAGCAGCAACTTTAAGATGTGAAAATCAACTGAAGAAAAATACATTTTGGATGGTTAATTCATCACCACAGATGAAAAAATAAGGAAATTAGAAAATTTATTTTATCTCTTATAAGGCAACCACTAAGGGAATTTCTTATTGCATTTACAGTTTTTAAATATAGTAATCCCTGAATGACGAGATCTACATTATTATTTACCATAGTGTTTCACAAATATTTATCAGTTTGGCTGTATCTACACTGAATGTTGAAGCTAGCTGGTTAAATAGCTGGATTTTAGATGAAGGAAATAAATGGCCTTGTAAGAGTAACTTAGGAAAAAAATACTTTCTGAGAATAACAATGCTAATTATAAAATGGAAATCAAAAGACCTGAGTTCTTAACTATTATTAGATTTTAATAAAGAAATTTTTATCCTACCTTGTTTTGATCTGGATTAGACTTATTTATTGGGTTGGCCAAAAAGTTCATTTAGTTTTTCTGTGTGATGGTTCTAGTAGTGCTTAGTTGTCTTTAACTTCATTCAAACAATTTTGTTAGATTGTATTGTGACAGCTGTCATATCAACGTGCATTTAAAAGAAGTTTATCAACAGCGGTAAATTTTTGTGCAGCCATTTTAATATTTAAGATAGAAGAAAATACAAAACATCTTCAGTGTATTATGATTTATTATTTCAAGAAAGGTAAAAAATGCAACTGAAACACAAAAAAAGACTTGTGCAGTGTTTGGAGAAGATGCTGTGACTGATCGAATGTGTCAAAAGTGTTTTGCGAAGTTTCTTGGTGCTATTGACATTTTGGTCAAATAAGTGTTTGCTGTGGGGCTGTCTTATGCATTAGAAGATGTTTTAGCAGCATCCCAGCCTCTGCCCACTAGAAGCCAATAGCAGGAGATAGCCGACATACTCAAAATATCCAAATCAATGAAGTTATTGGTAAAAATGAAAAATGTGTCTTTTATGGAAAAAACTAAATGGACTTTTGGCCAACCCAATACAAATCAAATACTTTAACTTTTCTGTGCCTCAGTTTGTTTTTTTTTTTTTCATTTGCAAAATAAAGATATAATAATACTCATATAAGATTTACTGGATGGATGATTATGTGCCTAGCACATTGATAGATACTGGACACACAGTGATAAGTAAAACACAGACATTGATATTAAAGGACACACTCTTTATGGGAATACATAAAGAAATCATTTCAAGGTGAGACAGTAAGAGCAGTAATATACCCCAGCACATAGAAGTACCAAGGGATAGTAGCTAGCTCACTCATTTCTTCTGTGGAAAAAAGTGTAGTTATAGTCAAGGAAGGCTGCCTGGAGGAGGCCAAACCCTGGAGTACGGATTAAAAGATGAGTGAGAATAAGTCAGGAAGGAGGACGGAGACTGAGAGGACTGTCCAAGATAAGATCACCAAATATCGATTTGTAATATCACATGGGACATTTGAGAAAGCCAGGGGTATTTTTTGGACTCTTAAGGGAATATGAATCCTGCTAAATGCTCAGAGTAGGATCGCAAAGGGACTCTGATCTTGCAAAGACGGGCAGTAGAAGCCCCAGGGGGCCCCAGAGGGCCTGCGCTGGGCCCTCGGACTGATCTGGCTTCCTTTCTGCTGGTTGACAACTGGCGCCTTAGGTTCAGCCTCCCAGATAGTAAATGCCTTGCTTGGGTTGAATGTCAGACTGGCATGACCTCTTCGGTGGAGGACAGCTTTGCTACATTTAACAGTCAATCGTGAAGAATACCATATAGTTAATGTGCTGAGTCACCTTCAAACCCAGAGGTGTTATGAATGGAACACTGACTTTCAGAAATAAAATTCAAAATCTGTTGTGGTTCTATCCATCTTTTAATAATCAACCACTGCCTTTTACTTTGAGGTTTCATTTTTGCATTGGTAGTGATCGGTGTTTGTTTTTGTTTGGTTTGGTTTGGTGGCCAAGAGTAAAAAATAAAGAGGAAAAGAGGAAGAATCATTGGTAGTACAAGAAATCATTACATTTTGAAACTAAATATTTGATTTGCAAGAAAATGAAAGGTTTATTTTTATATTTATTTAAACTCCTTACTTGCTTATTTCTGGCATCAAAAAGAACCAGTGTCTCCTTAAACTTTAATGTCCTGTAAAGACTTAGGAAATCCTTAAATAAATACAACTTTTGTCTTCATAGATACAGTCTGGTTCCAAAGGTTCATTTTCCCGAGCAAATTCATGAAGTTGTGCGTGCCACCAAGTATTTCCTGCAGCCGGAAGTCTTACAGAAGTATTCGGTCGACCCAGGCAGAATCGGCATTTCTGGTGACAGTGCTGGTGGGAATCTGGCCACTGTCCTGGCCCAACAGGTAACAGAGTGCCCTGAGGTGCTGGCAGGAGGGCGCAGGATGATGTCCAAAAGCCAAGCGCACTGTCCACTACACATGGCAATGGCTTAGCCAGGCCGGTTGCTGTGTGGCTGAGCTACTCAGATGGCTGAGCTGGGAGAGCTCTCAGAGATCTTTCCACAGTAGAAGAGAGGTCACTGAGAGACACATCACCTCTGAGTCCTTGTGAAGGCTCCGAGGACAAGCAATATGAGAAGGGGCCTAGCATTTTAAGTATTAAAGTAGTAAGTATTTCCTACTACTTTTGCATGTTGGACTCCCAAAGCGGGGTATTTTTGCTGAAACTCCAATTGTTGAGATTGTTTTCTAGGAACCTTGGGCCAAATTAAAAAAATCAAGAAGTCTCCCAATTTATTTATTTTTTTAATATCAAAGAAAACATTAAATGGTCCTGCCACCTGAAATGTAATAATAAGTGTGAGCTTCACCTGGTTAAATTCTTTGAAAACAAAATTGGATGCAGCTGTATAAACTCAAAATGAGTGCCTTTTTTTTCTGTTATGGATTTGACAAGAGAAAAACTCTGAGCTGTCCTAAACTAAATGACAGCAGTCTGGAGGGTGGGCGGAAAAAGCAAGAGGTAACCGGTTAGAGAGCCTCGGGCCCAATCCAGAAAAAGACTGCTCACATTCCTGAATGGATATTAAAAATCTGAATCAACTTCCAGGTGGCTATCTTTAAAAAACAAAAAGAAAGAAAGAAAAAGCCAATCACCAGATACCACTGCATCCTATTCCTGCAAGAACTTTCCAGAATGTCGCTGCCCACAGCTTACCCAGGAGTAGGAAGTATTTCTTCCTTAGGGACTATGCATGTTTCCTGCTTCACCATTCCCACCCCCCTTATCTACAGCCAGGGTAAATTCTTTCCAACCATTTACATCTTTCTTCCTGGAGCCTGTTGTATCAAAGAGCGCTGTCATCCCCAGGACAGTGGACATGTTTGTCTTCGGCCTCCAGCCCTCCTGCCAGTGGTTCAGACTGCAGGCCCCAGGACCTGGTCCCCTTTCTGGCTAGCACATGGCTCCATAACCTTTCCTTCCAGAAAAGATTTTGGCCACAAAGCTTTTTGTTTAACATATCAATTAATTTAAGAATAGCATCTCTGTCTTCTCATCTCCATTTTTTTTTTTTTTTTTTTTTTTTTGGTATTTTCAAGTAGCACCTGCCTTTTTATTTGTGGTGTACCTTGGTTTCTTCCCCTTTACTATAATTAAAGAACTTGATTCTCCACTTCGCATTGGCAGGTTTGCTTTCCATGTGTCTAAATGCGTTAAGAAGTTAGTGCTGGTGCATTGGGGAGGCTTTAAAACCAGACCGAACTGGGAAGGAATCTAGGCTCCCTTTGGAAACTGTGGGGCTATGGGCAAGTCTTAACCCCTCTGAGCTTCAGGGAAATGAGGATAATACCATCTGATTGTGCGGCTGTTGCCAGGACTGACTTAGTGAGATGATGTATATACAATTCTTGGCACATATCAATAATACTATTTACTGATCATTTCCTCTCGCTTTTACAGAGCAGTTCCATCTTCTCGGGGGATGGGATTCTAAAGGCCAGTGGGAAACAAAATTGTACGGCTGAAGTTACCTTGAAGATAGCTTGTTGCATGGAATGAGCTAGTTAGCTGTCTTTTAAATGTTATATGAAAAATAAAGGAATCGTTTGAGAGACTAGAATTACGAAATGAGGCAATGCGTTCACATTTGGGCCGGGGGGGGCGGGGGGGATGGAGGACTGAGATCTGCTGAGATGGAGGTCCTTCCCACTCCTGTTTTGACCTCACTCTGGGGCGCGTGCTCATGAGGCAGAGTGGAGGGTACATTGCCCACACCGTGTCTGCACGGTCTCACTCTCGCCAAGCAGGAAGACTGAGTGCTCATCGCAGCAGGCACCTGGAGGCCCTACTGAAACACTCTGGAGCCCTGTCTTCTGTTCATTTTCCTACTCTTGTCCTTTGGAAGAGTCAGGCTAATTGTTTCTTTTTAGGAAGCCACTGCCTAAAAAGGTCTTGCAGGGAATGCAGAACTGCATAAGGCTCACACATCCATCCATAACACCAGTAAGGTATGCTAAGTACGAAAAGATAGATACAAGTGACCCAAGTGACGTACCTTTGAAGTGTTCACTCACAATTGTTAAGTTGTAGACATCGTATCTTTCTCAGTAAATAGGCAGCAGCTTGACGGGGTGGTGGTGGTGGTGGTGGTTGGTGATGAGGAATTATTTATTTTTTAAAACTACATTAATGCCATGCCTGTTAGAAACTTTTGACTGATTCAAAGTAACACATTAAGCTACTTTTTGAGGTGTGGTTTCTGTAAAAGGAGCCATGCAAAATAAAATAATGTTTGCTTCTTCTTCTCCAGTTTAGCCAAGATGCCAACCTGAAAAACAAGATCAAAGTGCAAGCTTTAATTTATCCAGTCCTTCAGGCTTTAGATTTTAACACACCCTCCTATCAGCAGAATGTGAACGCCCCAGTCCTGCCCCGTTCTGTCATGGTGCAGTACTGGGTGCACTACTTCAAAGGCAACTCTGACTTTGTCCAGGCAATGATAGTTAACAATCACACTTCACTCGTCGTGGTGGAGGCCACTGCCCTCAGGGCCCGCCTGAACTGGACTTCCCTCCTGCCCGCATCCATCACAAAGAACTACAAGCCTGTCGTGCAGACCACTGGCGACGCCAGGATTATCCGGGAGATCCCTCAGCTGCTGGATGCCCGTTCTGCCCCACTCATCGCAGACCAGGACGTCCTGCAGCACCTCCCAAAGACCTATATTCTCACCTGTGAACACGATGTCCTAAGAGATGATGGGATCATGTATGCAAAGCGTTTGGAGAGTGCAGGTGTGGAGGTGACCCTGGATCACTTTGCGGATGGCTTCCATGGGTGCATGATTTTCACCAGCTGGCCCACCAACTTCTCAGTAGGAATCCGGACTAGGAATAGTTACATCAAGTGGCTGGATCAAAACCTGTGAAGAAGTAAAAGATCTAGAATGCTTGTGCCCCTCTTAACCTCCTGCACCTGCTTTGGAAAGACATGCACTTCTTAGTCAACTAATTTCCCTCTTGTTATTTGTGAGTTATGGAATCTCTGTTCCCTTCTCTGTGTTAATTTAATTTTTAAAAACGCATTTGACTAAAATAGGTACAAAAAACATCTACATTTGTTTCTCCAAATGGACCAGTATCTCTCTTCTTGTTTTAGCCGAACAACTACAAATAACCATCGCTGACTGTGAAGGGCAGGACCGGGAGCTAGAAAGAGCTGTGGGTCCTGCCTTCCCCAGGAAGTTCTCTTCAGAAGAAATGCTTCTGGCTCTGGATGACCCAGTGCCCTTAAATAAGTTAAGAAAGTGTGGGCTCTTCTCCAGCTTGCTAGAGTTTGCTTTGAGTACAGAACACTGTTAGCTGTGTGCACTTTAAGTTCAGCACGGGGTACCAGGTGCCCTCTGTCCTTTGTGGATGGATGGTTTTGTTACCTATGGGAATTTTGGCAAAGATATTCTAGCAAGGACAAGTTTCTCAAATCTTCCTTTAGAGTGTTACATTTATGAGATAATGTTCTATATGTCCAGTTGGATTATGATGATACTTGAAAGTTACCTTCCACCACTATTATTAGAAAATATAAGGTTGCACGCCCTGGATAACTCATTGTTAAGTTTTTTGGTTATGCCCCCACCTTGGCGGAGAACTTTTGGGACCAAACATATTTAAATTTGGAATAAATTTTCCATTGAAAACAGGCAAACAAACCAACCTATTGTTTTCACAGTGAATACTTCTAACATAAATTACCAAGAGCAGTGTGTATATATTTGGCATAGTCAGAAAAAAAAGATATGTTGAATATTAGTTTAAAATTATGAAAAATGCCAGTAGAAGGTCTAGTTTATTCTTAAAAACTCAACTTTTTCACTTATGTGGCTTTAAAACGGGGCTATTTTGGTATTTATATAATGTATTGCTTATTTTTCATGTTAATATATGTAGATGGATTCAAGATTTTTTAGAATAATGTCTATAATGAATATTAAAAATAATATTTTTAAAAACTTACCTTAGAATTATATCCACATGTAATTTTATAGAGAAGGTAAAATAGCTATTAATACTACTGTCCATTAGGCCTAAGTATTGTGATGTTCACATGCATATACAAATTAAGATAATTAGAAACTATGACTTCCCCTAGCAAAGCCGTCTAAGTTTATAGTTTATAGTTTAGACAAGACAGGCTGCTCATCTCTGCTTTTTATGGTCAGAGGAACACTAGCTCACAGTCTTCTGGGCTGGGGCATGCCCTGGCACCTGGTGCCTACGCCCTCATCTGTCCTTCCACTAAGTCTAGAAGTTTCAATAGCCCAAGGTGAGCTTGACGTAAAGCCTTCACTGCCAGTGGGAACATCTTTGGCGTAACAAGAACCTGTCAAGAATTCTGACTTGAGTCGAGTGCCTCTGCTTTCCTTCCTGCTGTTCCTACTTCTCCCTCAATCACACTTCCTCCAGGGCCTGCAGAGAGCAGCAGTCCAGCCAAGTAATGACACAATGTAATAATACGTTTATCAGTGGGGAGAAAGGAGAACCTCTTGCTCATTTGAAAGATGGGTATTTCCCACTTCTGGCAAGGAAATAACAGATGGAAATTTGGATAGTTATTTTTTATTTATTGTGTAGGCTAGTCGCATGTTTTGTACACAACAGAAGCAAATGCAACAGTGTGTGTACATGCGTGTGTGCCTGCGTGTCTGAAATAATCATACCATTTAGCATGCTAATGTGCTCAGGTAAGTCAGTCACTCACCCTCTCTAGGTCTTTTTTCCCTTTCCTCTGAAATCAGAGAATTGATTATTTGATCTATGAGGTTTCTTCCAAATATAGATTCCAACCATTTTTGTCAGACTGACAAGTTATACGACCTCTTCTTCTATAGTGTGCGCTTTTTTTTTGTAGGTCATTTATTCCGTACACACAGACACGCGCATCATCAAAGATTATTTTCCTAAAAAATTAGGATTTTAGTTCTTATCTTCTTGTAGTTAACCTCCTCATTTACTATTATGCTTTTTGACACCCTTTTGAAGGAACTGATGTTTGGACCTTATTTTGATTTATCTACCTCTAATTAAGCAAAGAAAATATAATACATGCACAGACTTCCTTAAAATGATATCCCTTGCCCCTAGAATTATGAGCCAAATCCTGTAGCAGTTACAGACAATAAATGATTCCAGGTTTCTCAAGGGATCTTGCAGATGCAAAGGGGAGAGAAAGAAAAGGGAGTCAAGCACTGTTTCTGATGAATACTTGAGTTCCATGAAAGCTTTTATACATATGAATGATTTGTCTAATGACTTGCACTGTGTCCCACCTCAGACATTTGAATTGCCCTGGTAGTATTAACAGCTGTGAATCATGATACATAGAACCACTAATTACAAGGTAAGCTATATACCAACCCAAAATCTGAGTGCTAGGAACTTCTTTGGGAAGCCTACAGAGTATATGTTGAAGATATTTTCATTCAGGGTGAGTTCATTTTCTTTTTGTTTTACTTTTTTTTTAAGTTTATGCTCTTCAGATTGATATGTATATATTTAGTGTTACGGCTTTGTTTTGTTTTCCTACTTTGTGAAAAAATTAATAGCCTTTTTGTAATATCATTGTTTTTTGTGAAATATGAACATAAATATATGAAGAAAAAAATCTTGAAGTGCAGCAAAGCATAGTGAAGTGTCAATTAGTCTTAATGTTTTTTAATTGGTTTGTGAGGAATATAAGACTATTATATAATTATCTTGGTGGGTAGGGTATTTTATGCATGACCTTTTAACCTGTGACTTTTTGCTTATTTCCCACTGCAAAGGGAAAGGCAGATTTTATGAAAGATTTTAGCAGCAATTCTGTTTTATAAGATGAAAACCCAGTATGGATGTAGGAAAAGTCTATGTCCACTTTGATTCATGTCTGGAAATAAAACGGCTCCATCTGGAAGTGTGCTCCTTGTCTGATTTCCCAGTTCCCAGCTCACTCTCTCTCTGTATCTCAGATTCCTAGCCTCAATCCCACCCTCATCTTCTGCCCTCTGGACTCCTCCAGCTGCCTTTCAAGAGAAGTAGCTCACTGGCCTCCTTGGTGACATTCCTTTCATGTCTAGGTACAGTATATGCCGCTCATGTTGCAGAAACATGTCAAATACAGAATTTTTAAAGAAGTTATTTAGAGAACAGAAGGTGGGGCTACTGCACTTCTTCAGGCTGACGCGAGCCGGGGAGTGTTCTGCCCGAGAATGATGCCCTCCGTGGTGTGGGAGAGGAGCTCAGCTCAGGGATCTCGGGGGCTCTCCCTTCAGCTCTCTCCCCAGAGCCACAAACCCCGGCATCTCGTCACGCAGCTCTAGTCCACTCTGCTCTCCTTCTGCCAGAACATAGGCATGTCCTGGAAACCTGTACAGGGCACACCTAACCCAGACTGGAGACGTTAAAGGAAGCAGCATCTCAGCCCAGGAGGGGGTAAACCTATTTCCATCATGGCTTCAGGGCTCATTCAAAGACAAAGACATGATGGAAAAATTGCTTATCTTCCTGGTGTCAAGGAAATCTCAGATAAAGTATCCAAAGAGGAGATGGCGATACGGTTATAAATGGTTGTGAAAACTTTCATGGATATGGACCAGGACTCAGAAGGAGAAAAGGAGCTTTATTTAAACCGGGCTTTACATCTTGCTTCAGACTTTTTCCTCAAGCATCCTCATAAAGATATTTGCTTCCTGGGAGCCTGCCACCTTGCTGATTTTTTCAGGTTATGCTCCCAAAACTCCTTACACATCACCGGATAAACTAAAGGATAGATTTGTTTATAATGAGGCAGTTGAAAGGGTTAAAGGATACAAAGAGCCCACAATCGAAAAGGTATTTTTATTTACTTGAGAACTTTATTTGGGTTAAGTCACATAATATTTGCTTTGAGTTGGAAGATAGCTATGAGCTTTTTATACAGCTATACAGAATATTATTTTCAGTTACAAACAATGGCCACAATCAGAAAGTTCATATACACACAGAACCCATGAGTTCTATTATTTGTGAAGGTGATACAGTATCTCAGGAGATTTGGATTCAGTTTTGGTAAATCCGGAACCTGCCTATAAGAATTTAAAGAAGCAAGTATATGATTTGGTGAAAGTTTTACTCAGAAGGACAGCTCAAGCTATTGAACCACATACTGTATTACCACTTTTTAAAATCAGGTGCTGATGTTTGGATAAACATCTACCAGGAATTTGTCAGAGCATGTCTTTGACTTAATTTTGGAGCTCTATAATATTGAGAGTAATTTGCTGCTCTCAGTGTTATCCCAGTTTGGGTTTAAACTACAGAGCAATGATAACAAGCAATGCCTGTAAGTTGTGAAACTACTGGCAAAAATGGGGCAAAAAATTCGGAATTGGCTTCTCGAAACAAACCACTTTGGCAGTGTTACCTGGGGAGGTTTAATGATGTTCACATACCAATATGCTTGGAATGTGTGAAATTTGCTAGTTGCTGTCCTATGAACCATCTTGATTTAGCAAAGGACTTAACAGAGTATCTTAAAGTGAGGTCTCATGACCCCGAGGAAGCTATTAGACATCGTGTTATTGGGTTTATAATTACAGCCGCTAAAAAGGATATTCTTCTGATCAATGATCACTTAATTTTTGTGAGTCAGAGAACTTCAGGTAAATGGTAGAGAGTGCACAAATAAGAAATATGTATTACAATCAGCAGCTGGAAACTATGCTGCAAAACATTTCATGGATCAAAGACAAGCTGCTATGTATCAGAATTTTGCTGATGAAAGATTGCTTTTTGAATGGATCTTTGCTCAATACATTGTTCCCCATAATTTGGAAACTACAGAGTGGATGAAGTACTTAGGTTATTTGTGTGTCACACTGGGTTTAAATGCTGGGAAGTATGCTTCAAATGTTAGCCTGTTCTTTCCATCTTTTGTAGTATACTGGGTTTTATGAGGGAAAAATAACAACTGTATTTTTAAATGTTCACAATTTATGTAATATAAACATTGTTTAAATAGCCAGACAATAAAATACACAGCTATTTTTTCAGAAAGTAAAAGAAAAAGACATTATTTAAATATTTCTGAGCAAAATTAAATAATTCAAAGTATTTCAGTCAAATTTTAAAGCAAAAAATGTTTTTGAGAAAATAGGTAAAATGAAGATTTTCTTTTCGCCCTTCCACAAATCAAGTCCTTTCTTCATTTTTCTTAACAGATAATGAGGTTTTTGCTTTGTTAAATAAACCGTTGCCAACCGCCCTGAGAGAGTGATCTGCGTAACCTGTTCCACAGGTATGCCACAGAAATCTAATCAACAGCGAGAAATTTTAACCATTCAAAGCAATTCTACTACTTTTAGGATGTTGTCTTTTTCTTCTTTCTGTTGTCATTATTTTTAATAAGAAATCAAATTCTATTTTCTTTATTCTGGATAAATTCCTGAAATAAAGAAATAATACCTAGTTGCTTGGCCACAGATGAAAGTTATTTAAAGTCTTTTACTTTAAGATAAATGGTTCACTAAGCTAAATAACACACTCCTGACTTCATTTCTTCCACTCTCGTAGAATGAAGTTACTGCCTCCCATACCAAGCCAGGGCTTCAATGTGTGTCCATTCAAGGACTTGCTGAAGTACCTCCCCTCTCTCCAGGGTCTTTTAACTCTCACTCTACTCATTCCTTCTTTGCTCTATAAATACAGTCAAGTCTTTCCGGTCAAGAAGGAACTCCCTTTTGGCCGAGTTATCTTTATTTCCTCCTCCTTCTGATCCAAACACAGCAATTGTTTTGGTCATCTATTGCTGAGTAACATATTATTCTGCAACTTGAAAGTTAAAATAATAGCCATGTGTTATTGCCGGATTCTGGGTTGACTGAGCTTAGCTTGGTGGATCATTTGCTAAATGTACTGTTGGCTTGGGGCCCAGGCCTATGAGTGTTCCACGGGGCTGGACCACCCACATGGCTCATGTGTGGCTGGCTCATGTGTGGCTGACTCTTGTGGCTGCCTGTTAGCTAAGTGACTTGGTTCTCCTTCACATGGCCTTTTTTCCTGAAACAGAATTCTGAAAGCGTGGCATCTGAATTCCAAGACGGAACATGCTAAGTATGCAAACGCAGGAAGCTTTATATCTTCTAAGATGAAAGTTTTGAAATTACCCTGAATCATTTCCCCATATTCTATTGGTCAGAGCACATCACAGGACCAGCCCAGATTCAAGGAGAGGGGAAGGAGACACCACAGCTTACTGGAAGGAGGGACAATTCCTGGCAGAAGAGAACTTCCTTTGCTTACATTTTGAAAATATAGCTGATGAAGTAGAGAATCTCCCACAAATTACTTCTGGCCCCATTCA